CTAATCAAAATGTGCAGCCAGCTGCAAAAAGCATCGCGGCGTCGGGCCACAATGTGGGCTGAAAAGGTGCCACACTGTTGGCTTCTGAATTGAGGGCTCACTGTGGCTGTTGCGTTTTCGGTTATGGCCCTGCGCCCAGCCGCAGCAAACAGCCGTGCTGTGGCTTGTAGCTGTGTGGGGCAAAGCTCGCCCAGCCGAAAAAACAGTTGCATGACCAAAAATTGTTTGCATGTCGCCCAGAGGCAAACAGAAGCGTAAGAAATAAATGATATGCCAAGTAGTGAACATTTTGTAAGATACTTTGTAGACACCGCAACGACTTATACGATTTAATTACAATTTTTCTATAACACATACGTGTAGATATACTTAAGATAAATTATCAAATGACATGTATAAATATATTATTTGATGTATAAATATATTATTTTTGACTTGACATGTATCGCTGTAGACTTCTATTGGGCGTTGTCTAAATATCTATAAACTATAAAAGACACAAAAATATTTTTTTTTTCAATTAATTGAAAATATTGATACCTCCTGCTTGATTTGAACCGGCGATCTCAAATAAGCAGCTGATTAGCTTAGGCTTAACAATCACAGAAATATAAATATTCTGCTGGATTCGAACCAGCGACTTTTCAACCGCTCAAATAAATAGCAACTGATTTGCCAGGTCATGCAATTTGACTTTAAAGTTTTTGCTTTAAGCAGACGTAAATATTGCAATTTTCTGTTGGGTTTGAACCAGCGAACCCCAAGCTTGTTAGTTCTACGCTTAAAAACCTAAGTCACGACCGCTGTTGACGCCACGTTCAGAAAGCACACTTTTGTGCCTGCTTTAACGTTGTCGCTTCTCATACAACCATCGCTTTTTCCACTTTCAGTTCGAATTTATCAAAACCCTTTTGACTGTCATCAAGAACTTTTGTATACACAGGTAAATGCTTAATATTAATTATAAGTATAAATATTACTTAAATTTATAATTTTAGCCTCTCACACAGCCTCTCACGCATTGCGCTTCCACTAGACGTGCTCCAAAACTATTTAATGGCTTTTCTTGATTTCGAAAAGATTGCGGCATATTATTAAGCAGCATAGCATGAATAAATACTCCTTCGTTTACCTGTATACTTGATCCTTGCCTGGCTTATGGAAAATCTCTTGCCTACCTGTACATATTGATGACTTTAACTAATCTATGAATTTCCTGTGAGCCTTTCGTTAAAAGCAAGCCCCAAATCGAAAATGCTTTTATAATTTCACACAAAGCCGCTTAGAGTTGGCCCAGAATTTTGAAAGGGCAATTTACTTGCGCTTTCAATTTCACTTTAAATAAAAGTAACGACGCATTTTTAATTAAATTTCGTGCCCAGCCATTAAGCCCTTAACTTACAGCCGCCCTTTGTGCCAACATTCCGCCCCCTGATGATAGCTTTGTTTGCCAAGTTTCTGTGGTTAATTATCGATGAGCATGCGGAGACGACCTCGAAGAAGATATCTTAGTTGGCCGCCCCGTTGGCCAGCTGTGCGGCTGCTCAGTTAAAGTCAAGAAGTTTAATGAAGTGCAAAGTGTTTGCTGGCAACTTTTGTATAGAGCTATTAAAATCTGGCCATTAATGGGTTAATAAGCAGCCATTGAAATTTAGGGTTCTTTTTTTTAGTCACAATTTAAGCTCCATTTTATAAGCCCTCCATTGTCTCTGTGTGCGCCACCTGGCAGAACTCTTTGAAGGCTTTCAGAACTTCAAGGACTTGATTTATATATATTTTGTGCGTCATATGCGTGGCATCCAAAACTAATGATTGCCCATGGCCCATTGTCAGTTGTCCTAATTTATTAGATTTCTTTTGTCGGACACGCAAGCAGCCACCCAAAGAGCTTGGTTGGGGCCAAAGAGCTATTGGCTTGCCCTTGGCCCTGTTGGCCGGACAGGGTCATTTATTAATTGCGGCTCGTATGCGTGCTAATCTCTTCATTATGCGATTTCATAATGGATTACATTCAAATAAATGCGCCTCATTTACCGACCGCCTGGTAATTTCTATAATTTCGCCGCCATTTTCCTAATGATGCGTGGCCATTGTTCTTCTTCTTTTTTACTCCCACAATTCTCACGAGGAGCGACCGTTGCTTATGTTAATGTCTGCTAATTTGGAGCTCTTGTAATTGAATAAGATGCATCAGCTGGACAAACTCTCGAGTTGGGGAAAGCCTTGTAATTGATAGAGGTAGGCAGAAGATGGCAGCTTTGGATGCGAACAAGGCCCCGAATTATAATTAAAGACTTGTCTTGGCTATTTTTTTAGTCTGAATTCTAATTAAATTAAGTCAACAATGTGCTTAGCATTTTTAAAAAATTCTAAAGCTAAATGGCGAGCCGAAGAATCTTTGAGAATCACAAAGAGAGGCAATAAATGAAAATGATGAGAGTGTGGGAGTGTGGGAGAGTGAGAGAGTGAGAGGGTGAGAGAGTGAGAGGGTGAGAGAGTGAGAGGGTGAGAGAGTGAGAGGGTGAGAGAGTGAGAGAGAGTGAGAGAGAGAGAGAGAGAAAGAGAGAGAACGAGAAAAAGATATTTAAGTTAATATTTTAATAGGCATTGCCGAAATTAATAACAATCGAAAACAATGACAATATTTAAGAAAGAGCAAGTTTTTGAAATTATCTATTCCAAGAAATACTGAAACCGAATAACTTCCATTATGGAAACCGAAATCGCATTGAATATGTACAGCTGCTTTGTAGCCAAGCAAGGCATCCCATGTGCACATACACAAATATATCTAACGTAAATTAAATTAAAATGTTTTATGCAGTTAAGTTCCAATTCACCGAATTATTTGTAAGCTTTGATTAACTAGCTTTGGCATTCACAAAATATGCATTGGAATAATGCTGCTTGAGAGCTTTATCCCCATTGCCCTAACCTAAGCGTCTGAAGTACCATTTCGTAGAAGTGCACACTAGAGTGCTTAGTACTAGGATTCAATCTGTAATGTACTTCTGCACTTCTGCACTTACACAAGTTGGCAGCTAGTTGCTATCTAGCCAAGACTTGTAATATCTGAGCCACTGCTAACCCACCTGCAGATCTGCTGCGCTCTCTCGATTGCTTTTGTCGTGACAAATTTGTTACCGAAAAAGCGAAAACCATTTAAATGCTCGTAAAAATGTGCGCCGACAAGCGGCTAAAATACAATGAAAGGCGAATCGGGTAGCTGCCCAACCCCGCCTGGAGCAAACCCCTTGGCATTACTTGATAACTGGCTGGCTGAAATGTTCTTGTGCTCGAGTCGCTGTCAGCTGCGCTTACAAGCGGCCAGGCAAATTGAAAACTGTTAAGGATGGCGCGATGCCATGGGGCAGAAGCACCAAGCACCAAGCATCACGCAGGAAGCAGCAAGCAGCAGGCAGGAGCTGGAGCAAAGGCAGCGCCGGGTACAACGACAACGACAACGAAGACGACAGCGACAAATGGCGGCGCTTGTTCATGAAAATTTAAATTGCAAAATGGGCTCAGTGTGGGTGTTAACACTCAAGCCCCCGTGCCCCGTGCCCCGTGCCCTGCTCCCAGTTACCAATTCGCTGTCCCCACCTGTTAGAAAACCCTTCGCCAATATTTGTCTTTTAATTACCTGCAAAGTGTCGGGCAGCTGTTGAGCAAAATTTGTTGCCATAAGGCACAAAGCACAATGAATTCCAGCCTTGACATTTAATTATTCGATTTCAAAATTTAATAATCGCACGAAAACAGACTTCTCTGTGAATCTAATACATGTATGCCTAAGTCATATGAAACTATTTTCGACAATTGAAATAATGTGCTTGGCAATAAAATATTTTTTGATAGTTTAGTTTTCTTTTTTAATTTAAATAAAACCCAATTAAAAAGCGCTAAATTTGTTGGTACTTCCATTGCAAGACTATTCGAACTTGCCTGGATTGAATTCTGCAGTCATTATCGATACGCCCTCTTTAATCATTATATTTTCTTATCTTAGGCTGCAAGCACTTTTAACTTAATGCTTGTATTTACCACAAAACGAAAATTCAACTGAATTTGCTAACTAAAGAACAGTCGAACTCAAATTGGAGTCAGACCATATTTTTTCATAACACGTTCTGTTACTGTTAACAAATGCCAAAAGTGTTAAGTCAACTACTGCTATCCAACACTAGAAATAATCTTGCCAATGAGCCTCCTTGTATCTAAAGAATATATCCAATCAGTATAAGAAATATCCGAAATTGGAGCCAAACCTAATTTCTTGAAAGCTGTTATGGTTCTGTTATCAAGCTTATGCAATTTTAAGTCAGCCAGTGCTGAAAAATGTTAGAAAGTAAACCACTGACGTGCAAAGAAATATCGAAAGAATAATATTTAGATTGCACCTGGTATCGATATAATGATAAATTCTAAAAAAAATAGTACTTTAAAAATAAAATATGTTTTGGGTGATAAGCATGTCTTGTTTGGATTAAAATTTTCAATATTTGTTAGTTTTTCAATAAGAAATTTAAACATCATTAAATAACTTTTGATATAGCTTGATCAAATAATAATAGTGTTTCGAGGAGATGCTCTATATCGGCCCTACGAGCTTGAATATTGAGCTGATAAAAAATAAAATATAGAAAAAATTAGAAAAGACTGAGAAGAATTAATAAATGAACAAATTAAATACAACTTATTGTATTAACAGAGTATACAGCCCCGAGTATATTCGACAAACATATTAGAATAAAATTATAATCCTCAAAAAAATTATATAAAAATCTCTTACTAAGGTAAGCATTAAGTGCTGGCAAAAAAACAACAAAAAGTTACGATTTTTTAAGCACATAGTCCAAGTAGGCTTTCATTAAAACAAACAAAATACGATTCTGCAGCCCTGGTTTTGAATTTTCTTTTTAGCCATATAAGGCAACCCTTGCCAGCATAGAGCAGGCCGTGCGATTTGGAAGATATCAGAGGAACTTTTGTATAGAACAGAAATTCATTTCAGTTTCAGCCTTTACAGCGTCAACAACGCCAAGAGTCATAAAAATTATTGAAATATATAATCTACCAAATATTTCAGGCCATATTTAAGGTACGTTATATAAACAATTATTACACTCGCATAGCTGGATAGCTTACTTCCATTTAGTGCTCAGAATGTTGCGCATGCTAACGAACTGTACGCTGCCGCGTGGCTCGCGGATCGCGTGCCAGCTGGCGGGGCGCGAGCTGTGGCGCGGCTATGCCAAGGATGTCAAGTTTGGGCCCGAAGTGCGGGCAATGATGCTGCAGGGCGTGGACGTGCTGGCAGATGCCGTGGCCGTGACGATGGGCCCCAAGGGTCGCAACGTAATTATCGAGCAGAGCTGGGGATCGCCGAAGATAACCAAGGACGGCGTGACAGTGGCCAAGTCCATTGCATTAAAGGACAAGTTCATGAACATTGGCGCCAAACTGGTGCAGGATGTGGCCAACAATACGAATGAGGAGGCGGGCGATGGCACCACAACGGCCACTGTGCTGGCACGCGCCATTGCTAAGGAGGGCTTCGAGAAGATCTCGCGTGGCGCGAATCCCGTGGAGATTCGACGCGGCGTAATGCTGGCCATAGATTCGGTTAAAGTGAATCTGCGCAAGATGTCGCGGCCGGTCAATACGCCCGAAGAGATTGCCCAAGTGGCCACCATTTCGGCGAACGGCGACAAATCTGTCGGCAATCTGATCAGCGAGGCCATCAAGAAGGTGGGACGCGATGGCGTCATTACGGTCAAGGATGGCAAGACTATGAACGACGAGCTGGAGGTCATCGAAGGCATGAAGTTCGATCGCGGCTACATATCTCCATACTTCATCAATAGCTCGAAGGGCGCCAAGGTGGAGTTTCAGGATGCGCTGCTGCTCTTCTGCGAGAAAAAGATCAAGACGGCGGCCAGCATTGTGCCCGCGCTCGAGCTGGCAAATGCTCAGCGCAAGCCTCTGGTCATCATAGCCGAGGATGTCGAGGGCGAGGCACTGAGCACCATGGTCGTGAATCGCCTAAAGGTGGGTCTGCAGGTGTGCGCCGTCAAGGCGCCCGGTTTCGGTGACAATCGCAAGGAGACGCTCGCCGACATGGCCATTGCCACGGGTGGCCTGGTCTTCGGGGACGAGGCAAACATGGTTCGCTTGGAGGATATTAAGGCCAGCGATTTCGGGCGTGTCGGTGAGATTGTCGTCACCAAGGAGGACACCATGCTGCTGAAGGGTCACGGCCAACGTACGATGGTCGAGAAGCGGTTGGAGAATCTGCGTGAGGCCATCAAGGAGAGCACCTCCAACTATGAGAAGGAGAAGATGCAGGAGCGTCTGGCCAAGCTATCCTCGGGCGTGGCTCTGTTGCGTGTCGGCGGCTCCAGCGATGTTGAGGTGGGCGAGAAAAAGGACCGTGTAAATGATGCACTGAATGCCACCCGTGCGGCCATCGAGGAGGGCATTGTGCCCGGCGGCGGTACTGCTCTGCTGCGCTGCATCACTAAGCTGAACGATCTGAAGGGCATCAACGAGGATCAGAACATGGGCATTGAAATTATAAAACGTGCCCTGCGCATGCCCTGCCTGACAATTGCCAAGAATGCGGGCGTCGATGGCGCCATGGTAGTGGCCAAGGTGGAGATCCTGGACGGCGACTATGGCTACGATGCCCTCAAGGGCGAGTACGGCAACATGATTGAGCGCGGCATCATTGATCCCACCAAGGTGGTGCGCACGGCGATTATCGATGCCGCCGGCGTTGCCTCGCTGCTGACCACCGCCGAGGCGGTTGTCACCGAGTTGCCACTGGAGGATGCCAATCCGATGGGCGGCATGGGTGGCATGGGTGGTATGGGTGGTATGGGTGGCATGGGCGGCATGGGCGGCCTAGGCATGTAAGCCTCGTCCTCCTCCATAGCACACACAGTTGTCTGACACATCCCACCCAAACCACAAGTTCTTATTGGATCCGTTTGGTAGTTCGTTCATAAATTAATTGTGGCTCTAGGCATCGATTGGCCGACAACACTACTCTACTAGCAAGAAACACATCCCCCTTTTGGAAAAAGCAATTTATGTATTTGATTCACAATGAACTCCTATTGGCAGGCAACTAGGGCACTTTGTTTACAGTTGACAGTTAAACCATTGATGCGTATTGATCAACTTTGATTACTGGACTGCAGAACTGAACCGCAACCCTTTTACAACACTCGAATACAAAGAGAAACGACACACACACACACAACATGCTCAACATTTTCGCCATTTTAATTGATAGACTTAACACATTTACACGCACTTTGTTCAACTTTATTATATCGGTAGCAAAGTACTAAATTACGAAATGTTTCAATGTAAAATATAAGCACTTGTCTTAGAACTTTTAATAATCGTGTTTTCTTCAAGAAAAAGTAACCAGAATTTGTAAATTAAATATATATTTATCGAGGACATTTTATTTGATAGGATTTGAGTGATACAATAAATGTTGTATTCATTCTATAATACTCATCAAAACCGGTTTTACAACACTTGTAGCCCTGCCAGCTTAGTTGGTCTTGGCAGTGATAGGTAGGTCTTGGCAGTGATAAGAAAAATACTCTACGTTATATTTACATCGTTTAAGTAGTTTTAATATTCGTAAATTACCGAAAAATTCGGAGATGACCGACCAGGAGATATGCTCCACTCAGCACTGAGCTGCCTTTATGAATCTTTGAACTTTCTTCTAGATGTAAATAAGCAAATTTATAAAAAGTTAATGCTGCTTCTTTTTCCCCCGCCCCACAGTTTATTAAATGCATTCAGATGAAATTCTCTTATTTGCAGTTGGATCTTGGTTTTGAACTTTGCAGGACTTAAGAATGGCAATCAGATGTGATTATAAACAAAAGTACAAAGTTTTAGCTTAAAAATGTTTTTTAAGTAAGCAAACAAATAGAATGTTAGGTTTTTGGAGAATTGCATTCATATACAATACTTACAAAGAACAATCTGCAAAAAAGCTAGTTCAAAAATCAATATTCATCGACATCATGAAAATTATAGAAGATATGGTAGGACAAGAATGAAAGTTTCCAGTCTATAGTTTTTAAGATAGATTCTTTCATACAGGCGGACGACAGACAGACCGAGTTGATCAACACATTAACTTTGTGAAGTTGAAAACGCCTTTTGTCAGTTGCATTCACTTTCACAAAAGAAGAAGAATACCTTTCTTTATAGCCATTTTCATGTAGTAAAGCTTGCAAAAAAAAAAAAACCAAATTCCAGGAACAACAGCACGAGTTGTTGGTAATTTATTTCCTGTCTAAAAACGAGCTCTACGGAATACCATTTGATTGTTTCATTTCACATCTTGTTGCCTGACGTTTGCATTGTTTATGCTCGCCGGAGGGAGCGAACACACATGACCATTGTCACAGTTGCCAACAGTTAACCACTTGTTGTTGGTTTATATTATTTATTTTTCGTTTTACTATAAAATATGAGCAAAACAAACACCGCACTGCATTCCACTGGACTCTAATTGTGGTCAACTGTGGCAAATTCGTCTGCACTTGACTTTTATTCAGTTGCTGTTTAACTTTTTGACATTGATGTTGAGGCGTGTTTACGTGCGTTAGGGATTGTGGGTTTTTATTTTGTGCGGTCCACTCGAATGGCCTCGCGTCTAAGCGTATGCAAGAAACACTTGACGCCTGAACTGGGCCGCTGCCTTGGCGAAACAGAAGCATCTTCTCTTAACGAGCTGTGCTCATCATCAGGGCTTACACATTGCCGAACCGTGTGAAAAAACTTGCAAGCCGCAAGCCAAACTGGGTAGCAGAGCGCACTTCAGAGGCAGCTGCATGCCAGCGGCTTATTCTGCTGCCGCTGGCATCTTTAGCGCGATTTTGTCGCGCAAATTGCATGCAAATTCGTGTGATGCTCAAGTGGCTGTTAAGAAGATGATCCCCAGCCACGTGTCTTAATGATGCTACAGTGTCGGCTCAGAGAATGCAACAGTGGCAGGCGACACTTAATTATGAGAAAAGGCTGCCTCGAGTGTCACTCGCGCGTTGCCCCCACAATATTTATTTTATTTTTTTGTACATTTTTAATGGTGAATTTACGACTCTGGCTAATCCCGCACGCTTAGCGCATTAAATCAGCTCCAAAATGGCCATAAAATTGCTCGTTAGCCATGAGAAAACATTTCAAAAATTGACAATTTATTGCCAGCGAAGAGAAAGGGCAGCAAAAAAATGTTATAAAAACAAAAGAGGAAAATTATTGGCCAAGCCCAACGAAGCTGTAATACTCTAGTTTGCTGTTGGAAACAAAATAACTTTTTAAATATCTTAATAAAAGCTTAATTACTTTGAAAGTATGAGGAAAATCTGATATATCTATAAATATTATATTGTTGTACTTATAATATTTTATTGATAATTAATTAAGTAATAACATATATATTTAGAGATTTTATAATGCATACCTTTCTGTTTTCTCATATATATATATATTATATTTACATTATTATTTATCTATTTATATTATCATTTATATTAATAATAATGAAAACATAAAAAAATATGCAAAGAAAAGTTTTCAGAAATTATTTTGATATCTAAAAAATTATGAAATAATTTGAAAGCTGCCTAAAAAATTTAATAAAGTTCATTATAAACAACACGAAAATATTTTGGAAAGAAATTATATTTCCAAGCTTATAATAAATACAAAATTATTTTTATTTAATTTATTTTTTAACTAACGTAAAAAAACTACAAAAATTATTATAAAATAAATTAAGTTTATAATATATGTAACATTTTCTTATATATGTGATGCAGCTTTCGTTTATTTGCACTGCTTTTGTACCTCAACAATACAATATACTTGAACAACAATCAAAATTAAAACGCATTGACTGTAAACAGTAAAATACCCTGTAATCTGTTGCGCACGATCACAAGCTTTGGCACAAAGTTTTGGAGCACTCGGAAAGTAGTTCGAGTACCAGAACAAATGCCCCCAAATGGTCTGAGAGTTGGCCGGTAGCTGGCTAGATTTATTTGGCGTTAGATTTTGATTTTGGGTTTTTGTTTGTTGTGGCATCTGTAACATGCGCTACACTCGTATGTTGCATGCAACAAACATGCGCTTTTACATATGGCCATTGTTATGATTTATGTGGCAAAAATATTTCAGGCGCGCTTCCTGTAAACGTTTTTTTTTTCTTTTATATTTCCTTTATGCCACACACTTTTGTGTTTATGCCGTGGCCTGTGCGGAGTGCATTGTGAAGAGTGTGCGTTGGGGTGCAGGGGGAAGGGGAGGTAGGGTCTTTGTGTATGCGCGGCTGCTGAGCCGGGCCAAATTCAATTTCAATTTGCACCCCATCAAAAGACAAACAAAGCGCGAGAAAAGTCTTTGAACTTTTCTGGCATAAACATATTGCTTTTTGGCAATGAGCCCCAGTCTGCAATTGCGGCTAGAGCAGGGACAACATGTGGAGCGCGACTGCGTCTTCAATCTGCAGCCGTATCAAGGAGTACATTTTTTCCTTTTTTTTTTGTTGTATACTGCCTTCTGTCTGGGACTCATGCTGCTAGGCCTGGCGCCCCATTGTCGATGTATTTGCTTGACTCCGCTTTGGCTGGTAATTGAATTTCATATATTTTATTGCCTAGTTCGCGTTAATGTATTTAGGCTAGAATTCTGCTCAAAGGTGCCCCGCGACGTTGCCGCACTTCACAAATCAATCAACTCGTAAACTTTCTTAAAGGAACCAACAGGAAGAATAGCTTTTAAGCCTAACGCTAAACAGAGCCGTGCAACAGTATGATTAGAATTGTGCACAAAGGCGATGTTTTCGCACTTCCATCAACTCAAGAACTGGTTCAAAAGAACCAACAAACAAAATATTTGCTGAACCGACAACAACAATAGTAAGCTCAGAATTGTGCGTGCACATCAATCAACAAATGAACTGGTTGAATAGAATCAACTGGCACAATTTCAGCTAAGCCTGCAGCTAAACATAGCCGGGCAATGCAAAGGTTAAATTTGTGCTTAAGATTGACCGGCGTCGTTGCCGCACTTCACACATCAATCAACAGTTGAACTAGCTCAAAAGAACCAACTGGAAGAATATCAGCTGAACCTGCAGCTAAACAGAGCCGAGCAATTCATAAGCGGATACGGCAGTCAAACGTGTTTGCCAAATCCAAACAGACTCCATTCGGATAGATTTCATTTAACATGGAGCTCGGGCACATATGGCGCCATAACAGACACCCGCCCAGGAACCAGCCAGGAACCCAGCCAGGAAATGCAAGCCATTGCTTTGATTCGGTTTACATTGCAGCAGCTGCTGCTGATGTTGCTACTCCTACTGCTGTCTTTTTTGGGGCATGGCCATCAAGTGGCCGTTTCTAATTTCCTGCCCAGTTTGCCGTCGTGCTGTTGTGTCTGGCAATTGGAAGCTGCGACTCGCACACAATTTATAAAACGATTTTGGGGCCTACTTGTTTTTAATTTGTGTGTCACGTTACGTGCATGTGAGTATTGAAGTGTGTGTGTGTCTCTCTCTGCCTCGGCTGGATATTTCGATTAATTGAATTTGCAATTGCATTTCCAGTTGCCAAGTTGTCAACTGGGTGTTGATTAACTTTGTCCAGGCGCATGGTTGCCAAACTGCACTGAGTCGTTTTTACGGATTCATTATGCTTTGTGGTCATAAGAATGGGCGCTCTGATTTAATCACCTTTTACCTGTCTTTAGTCTTGAACTCAGGGAGACATTATTGTAATGTGTAAAGTATATTCTACGAAGTATATACATAAATTCTTTATCCACATCAACAGCATTCTATGCAAGTCTTCTTTTGTGTATCCTTCTTTTTTTTCCATGGTTCATCGATACTTAATACTTAATATTTATATATAGCGCTTTGTTAAAAATATGCATTTACGCATTATATGGGTCTTTTAAATAAATAAGTAATTTATTTTTTTTTTTAATTTGTTATAAATATACATTCTTTTAAATTTATTTTGTATTGTTACTTTTTATTCTTTTTTTTTGGATCGAAATTAGTGAATTTTCAACACTAAAAGTTTTCAAAAACATCTTAATTTGAAATTATTGTTTTTTGAGCTTACTTACTTTGTTCTAGTCCAGACAAAGGTTTTAACTTTGTGTGCTTCTTATTTCGTTC